ACTGACTGTCGCCTCGAGCCCAAGCTCACTATCACAACTCTCGAACAATTACAATCGGATTGAATAACTACAATTGTTCAATTACAGACTCCGGTGTTCTTTCATCTCCGACATATACATATACATATATATAAAGGTAACAATCTAAGCAATTCGACATTCAAATAAAAATCCGTTCAACGAGGACAAATATTTATTATACCCAGCTTTAATCCTCTCCCGTGCCAGTATCCTTGCACATAGCAGGTTAGCCGAAAAGTGGATTTCGTTTGCCAGTTGCACTAAACGTTAGTTAACGTTACCCATTAAACGTAAATTATTGGATAAGCACTTACGAAGTAACAAAACCCCGACAGACGAAGGTACAAGGATTGTTTTCCTACAGCCAAGAAGGAGCTTACAGAGGCACTTCCACACTGGGAATTCAATCTAATAGTTACCAAAAAACGAAGGTACAAAGATTTGTTTTCCTACAGCTAAGAAGGTGCTTACAGAGGCACTTCCAGACTGGGAATTCAATCTAGTAGCTACCAAAAGACACGATAGACGAACAATACCCATCACACACTAACACTCCTAGCTTAAAGAAAATAATAATAATAATAACAATAAAAAAAATTTTTGAACTTAGACTATTTCTGGTGGCAGCATCTACCGTATTAATCAGAAATCTAAATCAATATTTCATACACAATAATATCATTTCAATATTTCCCTTCCGATTAAACTCAATTCCAACAGAAATGTTCGATAAGATTTACTTATTGTGATAGGATTAATGGCGAGAACTAATTTCTACTCATTCGGGTGATTAGCATAATACGATTTATGACAAACGCTATCGTAAGATGTAGGCGATGGCGATCGAGATTAGAAGGAATGCGTCTCGCAATGTTCGGAAATAAGTGAACTCGAGGGCAAAAAACTCGGTGCAGAATCTTCGCGATTTAATTCTAACTCTTCTCGGCGCCTCTTTTCTTCCCTTTTAACTTCTGCAGCAATTAATCGTTTGTACCAAAGTTCGACTCGCTTCTTGCTGAGGTGACTTTTATCTTTTCGATTCTTTCTTGATTTTGTCATCTGATATGATGATGTGAAATGAATATCATTCTCTGTGTGCGACTTGTGCGATTTCGCAAGCCTTGCCCAAAGACGGGCGATATTTGCCAACGATGGGAGGAGGAATGTGAAAATCGATAAGTGTTTTCGATAATTGAAAACACCGTTAACACAGGTTTAACACAGCAAATAATCAGTTAGATTTAACAATTTAGAAGATATAAGTCGTTCTTGGCAACTAGTGGAGTCGTAAGCGAGAAATGATTATTTTAATTGGCAACTAGTTTCACTGTGGACAATCAGTGTGGCTTCGCAGGCCTCGCCCAAGGATGAGCAATCTGCTAACGATGGGAAGAGGAAAACGAAAAACCATAGATGTTCTCTGCGTTGAAAACACCGTAATCACTGTGTTACGTCGTGCGACATTCTATCTAGACCAGGCCATACACCGCGGACAGGATGGCAACCAGATGTCCGCACGCCTTCACTGCGTACCTTCAATAGTCTTAAGAGCCGATCATAAATCTTAGAGGAATTTCTGAGCTCCTTCAGACCGAACCAAGCATCTGCACTAAGTCACTGTCTAAAGATTATTGTTTACTACGGAAAGATAGGAGAAGTTCGTCTTTCTCATGTACGATGTTTTACACTAGCAACTTTTTCTCGGGGCGGTTAACACCCTTCCTCCACTCTTCCACACCAATCCAGAAAATTAACCTATTACCAGAGAATTCCTTCCCTCACTCTCCCAACAAGAACTTGGTCTTAACAAATCAGCTTTTCTCGCATCATTAGACCCACCCATCGCAAGTGTCCTTCGCTGCACCATCGTTACAGAAAGTCAGTCTTTATACGTTTTTTGAACCTTCAACATCTAAGCGTGCGTCGCGTACAACACCTTGTTACTATAGCTATCAATCGAATTAATTGTACATTTCTAGTTAAGAAGTTGTTGGAATAAACATTAATTGTATTCGTTAATTCAGTGTAAAATCAACTTAACCACCCCTATTATCGCAAACGAGATCAGGGGATCGATCATTTCGTGGCGCTGATTATCCAATCGTAACGGGAATTTACGACTCCCGTTGACGTGCTTCCTCGCGATCGCGTCTCCCCGCGAATGGTCGAAACAACCGGGCATAGCCTTACTGACGAGTCCACCAGTAGTCCCGGGACGAAACGTAAAACTCCCTTTTCATTCGCCACACGATTATAAGAATCGACACCACGAACAGATCGATCCCCTTGTTTCTTGTGGGATAATAGGGGTGATTGATGTGGTATAACACTGCGATTAACAGAGTTATAAGATTTATATTTCCAATAACTTAATACACTGAATAGTTACACCGTTACGTATGATATAAATATCTTAGAAGATACTTTGCCGTATGAAACTCCGATAGGTGAACACTGAATGTTCTTTCGTAGTAGAGCAAGGCCCTTACAGTTGAATATAAAAAGAAGGTGACTTTCTTGATGTAGCAGAAGTAGCAATTGAATAGACTCTCCTGATGTCGTAAACGAAGTATAGAGATGAAGTGGCTGCTCTGTAGTCTAGATCACAAGTGTAGAGGGATGAAGTGACTGGTCTATCATGATGAGAACAAGTGAAGTTCGTTCTTGTGTGATTACGGAGGAAAGCTCGGTGTGGATGTGTTTTCTGAACTAAGGGCGTGGACTCGTTGTTTACACTTTTCTAACGAAAAGTGAGGGTAACGATCCGCGATGCACAAGTACACATTATTTCGTTTATATAAAAATTAAAATATCTATTCCGACTTCTTTTATGCATACAACATCAATTATCCCGAAGCTATTTCCAACTAGTTCATATTCATCACATCTTCCAATTTTTTTACATTTCTTATTATACTCCCAAGGTCATTTATTATTATTTAGTGTTTTGGTTACTTATCGTTAGGCAACATTTATATCAAATTTAAGTAAAATAGTATATTTAAATATAATTTGACAATATCAATTTTTGTTACCTTTATCTTTCCCATTTAATAAATGCATAAAACAAACTGAATTGAATGGAATATACAGGGTGGTTGGTAACTGATGGTACAAGCGAAAAGGGGGTGATTCTACGCGAAAAAGATGAAAATATAGAATAAAAATTTTTTTTTTAATTTTTTTTTTAATTTTTTCATCGAGACAACGATCTACAGTGAGATCCGTTATAACGAGACGTGATAAAGTGCACGCGTACCGTGCGAAAATTCAAGGTCAATTTTCTCGAAAACAAAACCTCAAACGAAAAATTTTTATTATTTTTAATAATTTAATTAATATTATTATATTATTTTCGACTTCTTTTTTCGCGTAGAATCACCCCCTTTCCGCTTGTACCACCAGTTACCAACCACCCTGTATATGCGCGCTCCATGTATAGATTCGAAAGCTTTTTGGTAATCGTTCACAACAAGGGAATCACCTCTGATTACTTTGACTTTAACGTATGTTGTGAAAGACACTCTTCTGAGCAATCTTAAAAACTCTGAAATCTATTGTTACCGCTACTGTGAATTTTGTTTATAATCGTACGTCCATGGCAGCGTATGAATGTTGATACTGCAGACAATTCGCGGATTGTTTTTTCTGAGCGTTCCTATATTGCCCCCTCTTTCCCTAATAATATCATTAGTTAAATTTAGACAGTTAAATTCACAGTCGCTTTAAATTAATTTATAACATATATATTCGTATTTCTGTTTATTCAACCACTTCTCCTTTAGCATATCGAAACCCTTCTCTGCGATCATGATAGTCGGTGCGTTAATATTACCACCGATTATACTTGGCATAATGGAACTATTTATAACTCGTAGTCCAGTAACTCCGTAAACTCGAAGCCGAAGATCTACCACAGCTTCTGAGTCCGAATCAGGCCCCATCTTGCAAGTGCCCACAGGATGAAATATAGTCTGAGGATAAAATTTGATCGTGCACTCCCAGTATAAATCGCTATAGAACGGAATATCCTTGCAACCAGGAAATGGTTTAGGATTCAGTTCGCTCTCGTAACGCGTCATCTCAAGCACAAACTTAACTCCTCCGATCAGTGTCGTCATATCCTCCGCTTTGTCGAAACAGTTCGGATAAATCAATGGATAATCGAAAGGACTGTTGCTTCGAAGCTTGATAACACCACTACTTTTCGGTCTTAAAAGTATGGGATACACGCTCCACAGGTCCTTATCGCCAAGCTCTCCATATACGTCGTCATAGAATTCTTTGTTCGATCCACGAGTCCGTCTCTGGCTGTCAGAGTTCTGCCCCGTTGAGGAAAAAAGCAACTGTATGTTTAGGAAATGGCCAGAGGCACTCGCATATTTCGTATTGATAAAACCTACTCCTTCTATAGATGCTAAGTTGGTCAAAGGTCCGTCTTCGAATATGGCGTATTCTAGGATGTAGCTAATATTATTCAAGCTGCTCTGTACAAGCGAAACTGTATCATTCATAAAAAACGTAAGGCCTCCCGCACTTATATGATTTTGAAGAGTATGGCCGACACTTAAATCCTGAATCACTTCCTTGGGTCCTATTCCCGACAACATCAGCAATTGAGGGCTATTGATAGCTCCTGCGGAAACGATCACTTCCTTGTTGGCATAAACGCGCAACGTCTCTCAATCTCTAACGAACTCTACACCGTCAGCACGCTTCGACGACGGATCTATTAAAATTTTGGTAACGTACGCTCCCATTGCGACGTCTAAATTCTTGCGCGACATAGCTGGCCGCAGAAAGGCCTTTGCCGTGGAGCACCGGCTTCCATTTCTAATGGTTTCCTGAGGATTCATAAAGCCAGTATGCCATTCTCCGTTAACGCCTCTATTCTCGTAACCCATTTCTTTGCCTGCTTGAACAAACGCAGCGGCCAGAGGAGTGTGAAATGGTGGTTCTTGGACGTGTGGCGACACGGGCCACGGAACTTTCCAACGGCTCTGGATACAAAGCGCTACGCCGTCAAAGCGCAACACCGACGTGCCAATGTGCCATCGATATCTTCACGCTCTTTCCGCCGAATTCTCGAAAGAGCATACACGTGCCAGGCGCGGCGGCACATCTAATGAACGCACGCTAGTGGGGGATATCGATGGACAACGAAGGGAAGAATCCGTTCGATCCAGAACAAAAGGACAGCAGTCTGTCTTGCGCCATAAAATAAACAAGTACTCAGTGACATTGCATAGCAACGCGTCTATTGAACTCTTGATATCAATTGTTATTTGTTAATCGTTACCAGTTATTTGTTGATCATATCTGTTAATTGTTATTTGTTGAGTCTGTCTGTTAAATCGCTTCTTAATAAACTATCGTTCGTTTAACATCTGAGTATTCCTTTCGCACCTATCACGGCATACCACCTCAGGCGGTTATGTAACCCCCGGACGAATGATACGGTGTCTCGGTGTAATTGTGATTCTTATTATCCTCCGATTTTTTGAAATATCTCAGGACATTCTTGTAAGACCATCCTGAATTGCCTTGCTGCTCCCATATATCGTAGTCTCATTTGGCACCACGAATGTAGACCATACCGTTTATCGTGCTGCTTCCACCAAGCATTTTGCCACGTGGCCAACGGCAACGACCACCTTCCATTGCTGTGAGCACAATTTACGATAAAGTGCATTGAAAGCGTCGCAAGTAATTAATAATCGAATGTGTGTTGTCGATTGGTTGTACACGTACGATTACATTTTTTTGGATTCGATGATGGATTCATTTTTCGATTTAGATTGGGGTTAGATTACTGTTCTTTGCTCACCAATGTCAATGAGCCCGCCGGCTTTGTTAGAAGACTCTATTATGGGGCCTCGGAGTCGGTAGTGTTATATGCGGCGCCTGTATGGGCCAAGGTAGTAGAGATTAAGAAGAATAGGAACATCTTGAAAAGGACACAAAGGGCCGCATTGACAAGAGTTTCGACGACCTCCCGCACAGTGACCCATGCAGCAGTGTGCGTGCTTATGGGCATAATGCCCATTTATTTCACAACTGAGCTTCGGACCGAAAAATATTGCATTAAGAAGGAAGATCATTAGGAGCAGTATAACACCCGTTCAAGAGCTGGTGCCGCCTCGGTCTATCAATAGAGGATTATGGCAGTGGAGGGACGCATCGTGGGGAAATGGAAGGAGGAGTGGCGATTTTGCAGAGAAGACAATTGGACGAAGCGACTGGTAGCGGATGTATGTTTATTTAGAAGATATAAGAGGAATATTGATCACTTCACCATACATATCCTGAGAGGACATGGGATTCTTATCGTAAAACGATTAATAAGGAGGATCACTCCAGATGTTGGGACTGCAATGGTAAAGGCGATGACGCTGAACATGCGCTTTTCTACTCT